CACTTTGAACTCGGACTTCTAGCCTCCAAAATTCTAAAAGAATAAATTTCTCTTTCTTCAAGCCACCCCATTTGTGGTATTTTCTGTTACAGAAGCTTGAAGTAACCAAAGCACTCCATATCCAATACATCACTAAGTCTTGCTGCTTTTATCTCCTAAATATCTCTGGAATTCGTTCACTTCTTTCTATCTCCATCACCACTAGCCTAGTTCATGTCATTCATGCATTCATCAAAAAAAAACAGGCACTGTTTTAGGTACTGTGGGAGCATGGCAAAGAACAAAACAGACAACCCAGCATCAGGGAGCTTTTAATCAAGAAGAGACAGTGAATAATAAACACCTGCCACTCCTCGGAAGGAAGATGGAGTAATCTACTTCTATAGCGATACTGACTTCGAAACCCAAGGAGGGGTTGCTATGAGTTGGGTCCAACTCGACGACACATAACAACAATATTAGATATGGAAGAAGGTTGGGCAATCTACTTCCATAGTGATACCGCCTCGGAAACCCAAGGAGGGGTCACTATGAGTCAGGTCTGACTCGACAGCACATAACAACAACAATAACAACATTAGATTGTGATAAACACTCTGAAAGAAAATAAAGCATGATGAGGGGATAAAGAATGTGAAGGATAGAGGACTGTGTTTTGATGAGTGTGGCCTATTCAAGAAAGTAACATCTGAGCAGAGACATGTGCAACACGAGGAAGCAAGTCATGTGGACCTGTGGCCATCAGGAAGAATGGTCTAGGAGAAAAAAACCAAGTGCAGAGGCCCTGAGATGGGAACCTGCCTGGCCTGCCTGACAAAGATGCCAGGTGGTCAGTGTGATTAGACGACATGAAAGAGAAGAAAGTGAAAAGGTAGCCAGGGTCAGATCAACTCTGTAGGCCGCAATGAGGACACTGGGTTCTATGTGATGGAAGCCCTAGAAGTTTTGAGTATGGGAATGATATAGCCTGATTTACCTTTTAAAAAGACATTCTAGCCGCTAAGAGGATGATGATGACAGTAAAAGGGGAGGTGTGGAGCCCAAGGAGGAGTCTTTGTTGGGGAGGGCAGGGGAACAAGAACAAAACTAAGTCATACATATTAAACAGAACTACAGAGCATTTTAGCTCCACTTTCACCTTGTAAGAACATTTGCATTTTACAAAGCATTACATTCTATTCACTGGGGCTGTTGCTAACCCCTAAGGCAACTCAGATTAGAAAAAGAAGCCCCTTCCTATGTGCAGCAGCAGCCCCAGAAAATCTTGATGAGTTGAAAGCTGTCTCAGCTGACTACCCTTATGCATGCAGTGAATGATGTGTGTAGGTTCAGTTAGCCATAGGTAGCTTCGTGCATTCAAAAAACAAAGGAAGAGAAAAAGAGAAAGAAAAACAGTTTTCACTGAAAGGAACTAATTTATCTAGATAATGGCTGGAATTTAAAAAAATTTAGATTTCAAGAATATTACATTTGGGTATATATTAAACTATGAAATATACAAATTGGTTTCATCCCTCTTCATATAAATATTCCAGAAAACCACTGCCTCAATGGTTATACTTTGGGCTCATTTCTTAAGTGAGGGAGCTGCATCCTTTGAGTAACTTCCTCCCATCTCTCAAATGAAAACTGACACACCAATGGGTGACATTCACTAGTCTATTTTCCTTTGTTTCTTCTTTCCTGTTTGCTAACAGTTTTTAAGTGAAAATAGTTCTTCTAACTATACAATTTGAGGCAACTTGAGGTTTTATGCAGTCCTACCCCTGGGACTGCAAGCTTTTTGGTCACTGGTGTTGAAAGGGTGTTTTTAGTTCTGATCTAAGGTACTTCCAAGAACATCCAATTCCTTCAGTTGTGTGCAGAGTGAAGCAAACAGAAGCTCTCCTGAGGACATTACAGTCCAGGCAGGTGGGAGACTCACCAGGTGGTTCTGCAGTCTCCTAATGTGCACCCCTATGACCACCACATGGCAGCACTCCCAGGACTTGCCACCTGACTGTGATCTTTAAGAAGAAAGGAGGCTCATGCCATCAACAGAAACACACATACTGGTCAGTGCTGGATGTCCTTCACTTCCTTCAGACACACGCTCAGTTTTCCTTCAGGGATTCTTCCCAAACCATAGAAGGAAGCTGAAGACTCTGATCCTACTGTCAGGTGGCCCCAGTGTCAGCTTGAATGCCAGTCATACTTTCTATTCCACTCATGGCAATTAATACTCACTTCACTTCAGGAGACTCACTCATCAACGAAATGCTCCCAAAGTGAGAAGAGAGAGAACAATTACTTCGATTTTTCACGCTAGACTCAGTCCATACCTAATGGCCAGATTAACTCCCCTAACTCTCACCTCGTTCCCTGCCATCTTCATTCTCTGTTTATATAGTGGTGGCTCCTACAGTTGTCCCAAAATTAATGTATTTCTCCCAAATGAGAGTCAAAAAGATAGACAACTGTGGTTCTCATGAAAAAAATCCCAACTAATAGAAGACAGAAAGCTCTCCCCCAGCATGGGGGCTTCCAGGACCTAGATAGCCTGCCCTGCTGATGGGCCCTGGTCCTGAGGGGCCCTCATTGATTTGTATAGACATGACAATGGCCTCTAACAAGTCTTCCCACTTCAACTCCAGCATGCTTTCCACCTTGGTTGCAGTGTGAGCTTTTCAGAATGTAAACCTGGGCATGTGGCCAGAGTATTTCAAACTCCTCAGTGGCTTTCATGTTAGTGGCTTTTTGTATTTTTTCAGTGGCATTTTGTATTTTCAAATACAAATCAAATTCTGTGACAGGGTCCATGGCTGAGTGTGACATGGTCCTTGCTTTTCTCTCCAGTTGACTCTTACACCGTTCTCATGGCTCCCTGTCTCAGCTAACTGGCTTCCTTTCTCAGGACCATTCCTGAGAACTGCCACTCCCAATGCATGAAGTAAGTTCTCTACATCCTCAAGAGACCCTCTACACCCTGCAGATCCTCAGAGAAGCCTTTGCTGACACTGCTCTCTCCTATTGTATGTTCTCATAGCACTTTTTATCTTTCCTTCCTGGTACTTTTCAGAATTTGTAATTTCATGGCTTTGTGTGTGCTTAGTTTATTAGCACCCATCTTTCCCACCAGACTGTGAGCTCCATAAGTGCAGGACCTTGGTCTCTTTCCATCCAATGTGCCACCAGTGCCCAGCACAGCACTTATCATGTACTAAGTTCTAAGGGGCAAAAAAGCAGTGAGCAAAAGTTTGAACCTCAATCGTCTGGGAGTCTGAGCTTTAACTTAAACGGCTCTCATTTCCCAACTTCCACGATACTTGCCGCTCACATTAGTCTCTCTTTCTGATGACTTCTTCTTAGGCTCCATCACAGATTCCTCTTTCTTAACCTACCTGGCAATGCTGATGTTCCCTGGAATTCCAGACTTTGCCATTTTGCCTCATTTAGTCAGCTCAAGGCTTCATATGTCATTTTGTAGTGATGACTTCCTGACTCTCTATTTGAGTTGCAACCCATCTATCTTATACAGCTGCCCACTAGCTATAGAAGCCGTATAATACCACCTGAGTATTTTACTTCTATCTCAGAGGACAGGCATCCTGTACCTTACTCAGCCTATACTCTTAACAAACCTGCTCCCCCTCCTGTGTTTTTCTGCTTCCTCATGAAGGTAAGTGCCTTTATCCAGGCCCTAAGAACTTCTTCCCCAGATTACTACAGTAATCTCTGCAAAGTTTCCCTCTCTAGTTTTGCCTCACTTTAAACCTATCATCTACAATGTTTCCAAAGTGCACATTCTTATGAAATTTAAATTACACAAAGACTTTATGAATATATTCTTTGTGAAAAGTTGAAATATTGTAATTAATAATAAAATCCCCTTTCACCACTTCATTTTCAATATTCTAAATATAGCTACTATTACCAGTCAATGTGTATCCTCCTAACCTTTTACTCTGTACTTATATGCATATTATACATATAAACAAAAATATAACATACATAATTATCTTTAAACATGAGTGGTGTAATATCATAATGTTGCTCTGTAACTTGCTTTTGCTCTTAAGGTGCCTTGGAGCTCTGTCCACACCAGTGTGTTCTTCCTTTTTAACTGTGGCAATGTATGCCAAATAAGGACACACCACAGCTTCTTTAGCTATTCATTTATTGAAAGACAAATTGTTTCTGATTCAGACCATTTCTCAAGTATAAAGGACTGTATAATTCTGCTTAAATCCTTTAATTATTCCCATTCATCCACATCCACATTGTTATTGTTGTTTGCCATTGAGTCCATCTCGACCCATAGCAACCTTATAGGACAGAGTAGGACCATCCCAAAGGGTTTCCTAGGTTGTAATATTTACAGAAGCAGATCACCAGGTTTTTCTCCCATAGAGCCACTGGGTGAGTTTAAACCATAGACCTTTCAGTTAGAGGTCAAGGGGTGAACCGCTGGACTACCCTCCAGAGCCATCCATGTTGTTGTTATGTGCCGTTGAGCTGGACCTGACTCATTGCGACCCCTCCTTGGGTTTCCAAGGCGATATCACTACAGAAGTAGATTGCTCAACCTTTCTTCTGAGGAGTGGCTGGTGGGTTTGAACCGCCAGCCTTCTGGTTAGCAGTTAAGTGCCTTAAGTGCTAGGCTACCAGAGCTCCCATAGCCATCTATAGGACAGTTCAAATATCTTAAAATTGTACCAAAGCATTAAATAATGTGGCCCCTACCTAGCTTTTCAATCTCATTCCTTCTTGACCTTCTTCCCTTTCCATATATACACCCTGAGTTTCAGCCAGAAGGAATTATTTGTAATTCCTTAAATACACTATACTTGTTGAGAAAGCCCATGTCTGGGAGCTTTAGTTTCCCCTTCCCTACCTTCTCTTGAGGACTGAGAACTCTGAAGAAAAATTCTCAATCAACACCTCCAAAGTACATCTTCCTCTTTAAAGAACCAGACTGTTACCTGTAGTGACACTCAGGCACTTCAGTCCCATCCACTTACCCAGAGAGGAACCTCTGGGACTTTCTTTCTCTATCTTCCAGGGCTCTTCTCCTTGCTGCAACAGGGAGATGACTTTAGGCTTGGAAAATGAGGGTCCTGCTTATAGACAAAATGGGAAAAAAAAAAAAGATTTGGTTTTTGCAGTGCAGTGAATTACTTAAAATGGCTCTTCTAGCCATTGTCTTCATGACTCTTACCAGATGACTGGGTGGGAGTATACACATGTGAGGTGCTTCTGGCCCAACAAGGGGATTGGATAGCATGCTAATAATGTAAATAAGACAAAATAGGGTATATGGAACCATAATGTGGGGAAAGGTAGTAAGAAGGATCTCATTACCATCAAGAAAGAAGAGCAGGAGTAGAGTATGCCCTTGGATCTGAGAGCTCCGTGGCAGAGAGATGGCAGCAGAGGCAGCAGAACTAAGAGACTAGCAAAAGACAGAGCAGTGGGCTTCCTGGCCCGTGGAGTGAGAAATCTGATTGCCTTTGGGTAGAAGCCTTGCTAGAGGAGTGTGGTGTCTCTTTGGGCACCTATCAGCAAAGCTTACAGGGCTTTGTAGCACTGGCCAAAGAAGAGCAAAGGCTGAGGCCAGAGAGAAGCATGACTGCAGCACTGCTGAGAAAAAGCTGTTTTGACCAAAGAATTGTATCCTGAGCATTCCTGAACCTGAATGGTTGCCTGTTATAACCTGTTACTTCCCTAATAAACCTCTAATCTTGAGTAATGTCTTGGGGTTCTACGCGGCCACTGCAATGAATTACTGAACCTAAGAGAGAAATAGAGAGTACTGCGGGAAGGATGGTTGGTGTCACAATTGGTAAAAAGGTTTGAGGACGGTCGGACGGCTGACTTCAGCTTCAAAGCAATCAGCCTGGGGCTGATGGTGATTCTGTCTTTCCCTCGTGAAGTTAAGGTTCTCAGAAGATGCCACCCCCAAGTCCTTTTTGGTAGTTTTCCTTGACATAAAGAGGTATGGTAGTATTTAGTTGCAGATCTTCAGTCAGTAGAAAAATAGAACTTGGTGGGAAATTGAAAGAATAGTACAAAGGGCTTCTGTTGGGTGCTCAAGACTGTGACCCCATAATGTGTGAGGGGATGTGTTAGGGGAAAGACAAATGACTTATATGACATGATTATGTTATAATTAATTGCAAGACAGAGAAATTTGGCAAACATGCAGCTTTGAGTAACAGGTACCATTAGCTTTGTATAGAAGGGGGAATATGTTAAATGTACATTTGCAAACAAGTGTCTAAAGAAAGGATTATATACACGAGGAAAAATGATCTGATTCCCTTTCAAAGATGGCAGCAGTCACCAAACTATGTGTTATGAGCCAAATCCAAGGCACTCTTGTTTATGTATTGCCCTCAAGAAAAGAGCTGTTAAAAAAAGAAAAGGAAGAAAAACACTACTGAGAGAATATGTGGCCCTCAAAGCTTAAAATATTTACTATCTGTCTCTTTGTAGAAAAAGTTTGCTGATTACTGGCTTAAATAATGTTCTTCTATCTAGAAAAGGGAAGTGGAAAAGGCAAGTTGCAGGCCTGAGAAGTTAAATAAACTCTCTATTAAGAAATGAGCAATCCAACCAACTACACAGCAATCATTTTAGGGATATGATGCTGAGCCATGAAGAAATTTCTAATGTTTGATTGTACAGAGGGAAGGGGATGATTATCAATAGCACTCTCTCCATTCTCATACATAGGGTAATTCTATGTCAATAAGGGGGAATATGTTTTTATATTTATTTGTAAAGATCCTATAAGGGGCAGTCTATAACAGAACTCCACCAAAGTTTTTTGATGACTCATGGTTTTTATCCATGAGGTATTGAGACAATCCAATTTCTGACTTCTGAATCTACAGAGGAAACTTTTCCTTACCCAACGAGACCAAGTTGCTATAGTTCTCCAGCATCACATCTCGGTATAAGTTCCTCTGACAAGGATCCAGCTTTCTCCACTCATCCCTAGTGAAGAGTACAGCCACATCCTTGAATGTCACTGTCATCTGTAATGATAAGCCATTCAAGTTCATCCAGACTATGCAGCACAGAAAATGAAGAAGGTGTCAGTTAGGGGGAGGCAGGCAGGCTATTCATGAAAAGTTTCTGATGTCATTCAAGGTTCTGAAGGTTCTAAGTCATTTGATTAATGAATAATCAACCAATGGCAAATATAGACTGAGCAGCATTAAGTATGAACCAGGCATTGCTAAACACTGTAAGAGATGCGTAGTTATTAAGACCATTAGTGGGAGTGTTAATTAGAATAATCTTTCTGATGGTGATTCAAAAATTTATAATATAATTTTAAAAGACATTTCAAATGTGCATGTTCCTTAACCCACCAATTATTATATTTGTATAGTAATAGTGCCCAAAAATGTAGATACAAGGATATTTATTATGGTGTTTGTAATAGCAAAAAATGGAAACAACCTAATTAACCACAGATGGAGGCTAGGTTTAATAATTCATGGCATTACCTGTATGACTGTGAGATTACTCAAACTTAAGGACAGTAATAATTAAAATAGCTCTCATTTACTAAATGCTTTCTATGGGCCAGGCACTATTCTTAGAGCTTTATATTAATCTTTAGTTTTAGCTTTATTTAATCTCCACAATAACCCCGTGAAGTAGTTACTAATATTATTTCCATATTACACATAAGAAAATAAAGTCATTGTGAGAGTAAGATATCTGTCTAAAGCCACAAAGCAGGTCAATGGTAGATCTGGGATTCCAATTCTAGCAGATATCCAAGGTTCCATTCTTAATCACTTTACAAAACTGTCTCGCAGTGCCTAATTCGTAGGGTTAAAAAGTAAATGTACTTAAAACTGTGCCTGACCATCTGATTCACTAAAAGTCCGTATGTTCCAAAGCAAACCAAATCCACTGTCATCAAGTCAATAACTAACAAATCCATATGATTAAATAGCATGTAATGATTAAGTTCTTTGAGGAAACTTGGTGGCACAGTGGTTAAAACACTTGGCTGCTAACCAAAAGTTTGGTGGTTTGAGCTCACCACCTGCTCCAGAGAAGAAAGGTGTAGCAGTCTGCTTCTGAAAATATCAGAGTCTTGGAAAGTTCTACTCTGCCCTACAGGGTCGCTATGAGTCAAAATCAATTCGACAGCAACAGGTTTTTTTTTTTTGTTTGTTTGTTTGTTTTAATGATCAAGTATCAAGTCTACATTTTTAAGATCCAAAGACATCCACGCTAATGTTGTTTTTATTGCTAAGTGCTGCCAAGTTGGTTTCAACTCAGAGACCCTACGTCCAGCAGAATGAAACAACTGCCCAGTCCCGCACCATCCTCACAATCACTGCCATGCTTGAGCCCACTGTTGTAGCCACTGTGTCAACCTATCTCACTGAGGGTCTTCCACTTTTTCGCTGACCCTCTATTTCACCAAGCATGATATTCTTCTCCAGGGAATGGTCCCTCCTGATAACATGACCAAAGTGTAAGAGACAAAGTCTGGCTATTCTGGCTTCTAAGGAGCATTCTTGCTGCACTTCTTCCGAGATAGGTTTTCAGTCTTCTGGCAGTTCTCTTTGCCAACACCACAATTCAAATGCATCAATTCTTCTGCAGTCTTGTTTACTCCTTGCCCAGCCTTCACATGCACATGTGGTCATTGCAAAGACAATGGCTTGGGTCAGCATGCCTTAGTCTTCAAAGTGACATCTTCGCTCTTTAACACTTTAAAAGGGTCTTTTGCAGCAGATTTGCCCAATACAATACATCCTTTGATTCACTGATTGGTATTGATTGTGGATCTAAGTGAAACAAAATCTTTGACAACTTCAATCTGTTGTCCATTTATCATGATGTTGCTTTTTAGTCCAGTTGTGAGGATTTTTGTTTTCTTTATGTTGAGGTGTAATCCATACTGTAAGCTGCAGTCTTTATTTTTCATCAGTAAGTGCTTCAAGTCTTCTTTGCTTTCAACAAGCAAAGTTGTGTCATCTGCATATCGTGGATAGGACATGACATTGTCCATGATAATAAGTGCAAAAACTAGGGTATATATCATTATGTTTAATTTGTTCCCATTTGTGCAAAACATAAATAAGTGTGTATATGTGCACAGAAAATGATTCTGAGGGATGTGCATCAAAGGGGTGACAGTGACTCCAGATGGTAAAATTAAGATTGATTTTACTTTCTTCTTTATGTGTGTACTTTTTATTCTCTGAAACCTTTACCATGAGCATGCACAATATTTATAGGAGCTCTGGTGGCATCCTGGCCCTCAAAGAACATACAATTCAATTGACAAACAAGAAAAACATAAGAAGTAACTGTTCAATTATTTGAACAATAAAAGAAAAATGTGTAGCTGGATAGACTGTATGGAGCTCTGGTAGAACAGTGCCTAAGGCACTTGACTGCTAACCAGAAGGCTGACGGTTCAAATCCACCAGCCACTGCTCAGAAGGAAGGTTGGGCAATCCTACTTCTGGAGTGATACCACCTCGGAAACCCAAGGAGGGGTCGCTATGAGTCGGGGCTGACTCGATGGCACATAATGATAACAACAACAGTTCAATCCTCATTTTATAGATGAGAATCACAAGATCCAGAGTATTCAAGACCACAAGTCCCATACTTTATAGAGGCAGGACCACGACAAAAGTTTTTTAACTTGTAACTGCAGTGTAGTGAATTGCTTAATATGGCCCTTCTAGGCATCATCCTCCATTTTGTGGAGTATTGTAAATCCTAGTCTCTGGTGGTGTAATGGATAAGGCACTTCATTGCTAACTGGAAGGCCAGCAGTTCAAACCCATGAGCTGCTCCGCAGAAGGAAGACTGAGCGATCTACTTCCATAAAGATTTACAGCTTGGGAAACCCAATGAAGGTCACTATGAAACAGAAATGACTTGATGGCAGTGAGTATGTTTTTTTTTTTTTTGGTATATGCCTGCTTAGGGTGGAATGCATCTTGAGACCCGCTTTTCTGGAGGATGTGATTCAAGTCACTACCCTTAGATTCCCTGAGGGTATATATAGGGAGGTTTTGGGAAAGTTTGCTCTCTTGCTCTGGTTCCACATTTGGTTCATCATCATCTCACCCCTGGACTTGACACTATCATCTGATCCTCTGATTTGGGTTCACCAACCCCTGCAACCATAAGAGTTGGGAGAATCCTCCAAACCTACTCACAGACCTGGGACTTGCCTGCTTGCCAGCCTCCCAGCCTCCCAGCCTCCCAGACCTCCACCACTAGCATGTGAGCCATTTCCTGGTAGTTCATGAGTTCTGTGAAACATTACAGCAAAGTGCAGAACCTTAAGGCAGGATGGAGAGTACTGAGAGGAGGAGGAAGAGTTGAGGTCAGACATGATGGAGTGGCATGGCAGTTTGGAAAAGTTGGACATCTGGGACATCTTTACCCTCCGCCTCACAGGGACTGGCCTTGTGCTGATCTTTCTAAATTATTCAAGCAGCAACCCAGCACTTTCTATGGTCTCTGTAGTCTTAAACTTCTCATCATTGATTTTTATACATATGTCCATGAAGTGCTGTGTCTGGGGAGCAGATGAGGTTATGAAGAATTTCATATAGGATACAGTCACATACAGGGATGGAAAAGATTCTGGCCAAGAGAATAGCTTGGCTCCATAGGAATAGATGAAAATGGTTTAAAAGAAAGAAGAACAACCCAAATATGAAAGAGCACACCCTGGCTTTCACCTCAGAAGATCAAACACTTCTTCATTTCATGGGTCCATAGGCAATGTCACACTGCAGAAGAGCTCTGATAATACCTGGGCTGGATCTGCCCTGTGTTCTGAAAGATGCACTTGAGGCTGGATGATTAATGGGCATGAATTCATAGCCCAGAAAACATACAGACTTGAATTCAAATGCTTTGACTTCTTTGAGTCTCCAGTTCCTTGTAATTAAAATGAGAATAATAATTGCTGTGACCGTGAGAAATAACAAATGTAAAGCTCTCAGCACATTCCCAAACATGCCAGATATGAAATAAACATAAACTATTTTATTAGTTGAAGAATGAGTAGAGGACAAATATATTCTAGGTGCTAGAAATATTGTATAACTGTATCTACAGAAGTTACTATTATTTTTAAAACAATAACATACTTCACCAACCACATATTGAGCATCCACCATATGCCATACCCTGATCTAAGCACTTTCCATGTAGTAATTGTTATGATCCTCTCATCTTTCTTATGAAGTAGGCATGATTGTTGTTATGGGCTGAATTACGTCCCCTAAAAATCTGGACTGTAAATCCTAACCCCTATGCCTCTGGTCGTATAGTGGTTAAGGTATTAGGCTGCTAACCAAAAGGTCAGTAGTTCGAATCCACCAGTCACTCTACAAAAGAAAGATGAGGCAGTAAAAATTTATAGCCTTGGTAATCCAATGGGCATCACTATGCATTGAAACTGACTCAACAGCAGTGAGTTTGGTTTTGAGTTTTTTATACCTCTGGAAGGAACTCTGGAGGTACAGTGGTTAAAGCATCTGGCTACTAACAAAAAAGGTTAGTTGTTCAAACTTGCCAGCTGCTCTGTGGAAGAAAGATGTGGCAATATGCTTCCGTAAATATTTACAGCCTTGGAAACCCTATGGGGCAGTTCTGCTCTGTGCTACGGTGTCACTGTACGTTGGAATCTACTCAATGGCAGTGGGTTTAAACTGTGAGAAAATAAACTTCTATTTTTTAAAGCCACCCACTTGTGGTATTTCTGTTAGAGCAGCACTAAATAACTAGGTAGTTGTTATTCCTTTTTTACAGTGAAAAAAACTGGAGCATAGAGAAGTGGAGTTGTTTGTACAAGGTCCACAAATGGCAGCAGGGGAGATGGGTTAAAAACCAGGCCTGCTGGCTTGAGATCCCCACTTCCTAACCACTGTGTACATGGCCTCTCCACTACCTATATCCCATGACCACCCCTGTGGTCTCCTGAGGAGTCTTCCATCTGCCCCTGAACTCAAGAGATTGCTACAAACTGTGTTCCCTCCAACATGGCTCTGGCATTGGCTAACCTGGGCATGGCCCCTCTCTACTCCCATGACATGGGAATACTGAATTATTTCCAGTTAAAAATAGTTTTTAAGTGAGTGGTAAAAGCAAGAATGTAATTCATAAGGTAAAGAGGCAAAACAAATCTAAAACTATGGGTTGGAGAGGAGCTCTGGTGGCATAGTAACTAAGGCATTTGATTGCTAACCAGAAGGCTGGCAGTTCAAACCCACAGTCACTCCTCAGAAGGAAAACTGGGTGATCTACTTTCATAGAGATACTACCTTGGAAACCCAAGGAGGGGTCGCTATGAGTCGGCTCCAACTTGACGGCAGTGAGTTTTGAGTATGCGTTAGAGAAGCCTGGGGAAGGTATCAAGATCCTCAGAGGTGGAAAGAAAAAGAAAAGCGTTTTTGCCAAGGGCAGGGAGGAAGACATGCTGAGTGAAGGAGGCAAGACCAGAAAGAAACTTTTCCAAGCAGGCATGTTTATTTTGTCCCCAGTGATATAAGACATATAGGAGCTTACCTGTCAAATTAGCAATCACACAATGGATTGAGATTAATGAACAAGAATGTGTATTAGGAACTAACTAAATAAAAAGAGAAACACTAGACATGGATAGGGGATGAATAAGCATTCCTCACAGAATCCACCAGCCAGCAGGGTAGACCAACTCCTCCTTGGGAAAGGAACCTGGGCTCTAGATCCTGGAGAAGACTGTACTGGGGACAGAATTTTAGGAAGAGGGTATTTTTGGAAAACATTCATCCATGGGAACTGAAATAGAAATGAACTCACCTGAGGCTTTGCGTCTCTTTGTCCCGTAGCCATGTCCTCTTGCTGGGCTCTTCCCCTGAGGATGGGAGGAGTGTCCAGAAGGTGGATCTGAGAGAAGAGAAAGGGAGACAGAAGGAAGCCACTTCTGCTTTCTACCCCTCAGAAATTAGCAGCTCCGAAATCCTTACCATAAGCTGGGTGTAAGCAGAGGTGCCCTTAGAGAGGGGAGTCAGAAGGAGCCAGGAGCCAACAGGATCAGAGAGAAGGGCTATGGACATCCTGGCCCAGGCCCCAACCCTTCGTCTGGCTCAAGAAGTATCCAGAAAGCAAGGCTTTGGAAAAGGACAACGGACTCTCTCAGCAGAAGCAGCAACATGCCAAGCCCTGTTTTACATGATTTAGTCACTGTAGCACCAGTTGGCATTGTTAGCATCCTCATCGTTTAGAAAGGGAAACTGAAGACAGTGTGAGTAGTTTGTCCTGAGTTCATACTGCCACTAAGAATGGTAACAGGATTCCAATCTAGGCGGGCTGCTCCTGAGCTCTGTTCCTCACTATGTGACAAATGACAACTTCTCTCTTTCTCAAGCTCTTTTCCACCTAATTCTTTCCTCTCCTGTCAAGGAATCAATGACCAGAATTTTGAGAAAACTGTTTTGGAAAAAGAAAGCATCATTGGCTTTCTTTCTCATTATCCGATAATGGATAAGGGGTGGCTGGCTATCTTATGGAAACGGTAAGGAAACCAAAGACCTAGATTTAGTCCTGGCTCTGCCATTGTGGGAACCCAAGCAATTTATTTCTCCCATAAAGCAGATAATTCCATCTGCCACCCAGATACGGTGACGTGACGATAAGGGTAGGAACTGCATTTTTCACGTGTTAATTGTAGGACAGTAGGAAATTCAAATGCCAGCAGGGACAAGGCGGGTAAGGCGCCGTAAATAGGCCTGGAGGTAGCAGGAGGATGGCTGGGGCCTTGGGCTTATGGGGAAAAACTGACATGTTCAGGGCTTGTGTCTGTAGGGCTGCTGGTGAGAGGTGGAAAGGCTCTAGGTGCGCGCGCCCCTCGCCTGCCCGCAACTACAAAGGCCGCTCTGAACCCCGCGGCGGCCGTAGGATCCGCCCCGCCCGTGTCTTCCGTACCCCGGCCAAGGACCTGTTCTCTGGGGCGCAGCGCCCGCGACCCACGAACCCCCGCACCGCCTCCTACCGAGGCCCGGTTCCTTCCTCCCGCATCCCGCCGCCTCCTCCGCGGCTCACCAGGACTCCCTGTCTCCGGGAGCACCCGGAGGCCGAGCCTCACCCCAGCCGCGCTACGCAGGCAGGAGGCTCTGGCACTGCCCTGGCCGCAATAGCAGCCTGGAGTTTGGACTCCCAGGGCGATGCCTGGGCGGACCTCAGGCCCCAGAGAAGCTCACCCGGGCGGCAAACGCCCCGCACCCCAGGCTGGTCCAGGAGGGGCGGGGCAGGGAGGGGTTATTGAGGTACGGCCGCTAATGCCGCTGGGAAATGGAGTCCACACGAGAACCCAAAGATACTGGGAAGTGTAGTTCGCCACGTTTGCCTGCGGAGGCGGGACCCAGAAAGAGCTCTGTCACCTGTCAGCCCAACTTGAGAAATTGTGTGGAGCTCGCCAGGGTTCTCCGCCACTTCACTTCTGTGCAGTGAAGTGGAGGGGAACTAATGTACACTTCAAGGCAGTATCTCCTATCTCTGTATTTGCATAAAAGTAAAAAATGGCCAAACACTGAGCTATTTCCCCTTTGGTTAATAAACAAAAAATATTGAGCACCTACTATATGCCAGGAAAGATCAAACCAAAACCCAAACCCACTGTCGTGGGGTTGATTGTTGTTATTATTGTTTGCCGTCGAGTCGGCCCCGACTCATAGCGACCCCTCCTTGGGTTTCCGAGGCAGTATCACTGCGGAAGTAGGATTGCCCAACCTTCCTTCCGAGAAGTGGCTGGTGGGTTTGAACCGCCAGCCTTCTGGTGAGCAGTAAGTGCCTTAGGCACTATGCTACCAGAGCCCCTCTATAGGACGGAGTCGCGCTATCCCATTAAGGTTTCAAGGCTGTAATCTTTAATTAAGGCAGGAGCTCTGGTAGTGCATTGGTTAACACATTTAACTGGTAACGAGGTCGGGGGTTCGAACCCATCAGCCTCTCCCCAGGAGAAAAATAGGAAGATTTGCAGCCTTGGAAATCCTCTGAGGCAGTACTATTCTGTCTTTTAGGGTCAGTATGAATCGGAATTGACTCGATGGTAGTGGTGTTGGGTTTTTTTCTTTTTTAATCTTTTAAGGAAAGGCATCCTGGTGGTGCAATCGTTAAAGCAGTGGCTGCTAACCAAAAGGTTGGTGATTTGAAAACACCAGTTGCTCTGCGGTGAAAGATCTGCTTCCATAAAGATTCCAAAACCCAAAACCAAACTCACTGCCATGGAGTTGTTTCCGACTCATATAGCGACCCCTCCTTGAGTTTCCAAGTGGGTATCCCTATGGAAGTAGATTGCCCAATCTTCCTTCGCAGGAGTGGCTGGTGTGTTTGAACAGCCAGCCTTCTGGTTAGTGGTCAAATGCCTTGAGCACTATGCCCCAGCCCTGTAAAGGCGTGCTGTCCTATAGAGTTGCTATGGGTTGGAATCTACTAGATTGGCAATGGGTTTGTTTTTTTGTTTGTTTGATTAGTCTTTAAGGAAGCTGACTGCTACATCTTTTTCCTGTTCAGCGGTTGGTAGGTTCTAATCGCAGACCTTTTGATTAGCAGCTGAAAGCTTAACGATTGTTCTACAAGAGGCACTTTATGATTTTTGTTGTTGTTGTTGTTGTTGTTGTTGACAGATATGTTTCAAAACGCCTAAAATGAGGATAGGCATTTTGAAGTACATCTTTGAAATACATCTGTGAACAACAACAAAATCACTGCCCTTGAGAACTTTACTGGGAGTGCAGAGCACACAGTAGGCCAAGGAGCATAATTATATAGCTTTTTAGCAGATAAATGTTGTGGAAGAACAAAAAAGAAGGAGGAGGTGGCAGATCTGGGGAAGGTTTGGGAGGCAGGGGTGCACTACCAGGCAAGCCTTGCTGATGTAGTGGTGAACCTTACAAAAAAACACAATTGAGGTATTGGCATATCTGAATAGAGTGACTTCAGATATAACCTAAAACTCTATTTTGAATTTAAGATTGTCATTTCTACTCTTCTAAAGAAACTACTAGGAGCTCTGGTAGCATAGTGCTTAAGGCATTTGACTGCTCACCAGAAGGCTGGCCGTTCAAACCCACCAGCCACTCCTTGGAAGGAAGGTTGGGCAATTTACTTCTGAAGTGAAACGGTCTTGGGAACCCAAGGAGGGTTGCTATGAGTCAAAATTGACTCTACAGCAATGAGTTTGGTTTGGTTAAAGAAACTACTCACCCTATTTGACAAAATTTTACTGCTTGAAAAACAAAGGCAAAAGCCAGAATTTCTAACCTAGATAAAGAATTAATTATTATCTGTTAAGAATGTGCAGCTGGGCCAACAAACATGAAGAAATGCTCACGATCATTAGCTATTGTTGTTGTTGTTGTTATGTGCCCTCGAGTCAAACCCGACTCATAGCGACCCCTCCTTGGGTTTCCTAGGCAGTATCACTATGGAAGTAGGATTGCCCACCCAACCTTCCTTCCGAGGAGTGGCTGGTGGGTTTGAACCGCCAGCCGTCTGGTTAGCAGGCAAGTGTCTTAGCCACTATGCTACCAGAGCTCC